GGAGTCCAGCTTCCTCCAGAGAGCCCAAAAGAGTGAGAAGTGAGTGGCTCCCACAAGCCTCTCCCCATCCCACCATGGCAGCTGGAGAGTCTCTCCTCCTTGCCCCACACCAACATTTGCCCCCATTGCTGATGGCACTCTGCATCTAGCCCCAACAATACTGCCTCCCCCAGAGAAGGAGCCAGCAAGGTCTGGCATGTGGCTGGGAGGCAGGGGCTAATGACAGCCATCTGCATGTTCTTTCTGGATTCTAGCAGATATACACAGTCAGACTTGTGTGAGGCTCAGGAAAATCTGACACCCCACCCCAAACAGCACTTGCCATGGACATGTGGTCCCTACAATCCCCCACTCAAAGGCCCAGGAGCCCCCACAGTTTAGCTTTACATGTGAGTGGCTCTCGACAATGTCAAGTAGAAGAGAAACAGTAATTTCTCTAATGTAAAAAGAAAGATCCATTCAACTATAAATCACCAGGTATAAAAATAATGTGGACTGAGGCTGAGGCTGAGGCAAGAGAATTGCCTAAGCCCAGGAGTTGGAGGTTGCGGTGAGCTGTGACGCCATGGCACTCTACCAAGGGTGATAATGTGAGACTCTGTCTCTAAAAAAAAAAAAGAAAGAAAGAAAAAGGAAAAAAAAAAGAAAACTAAATAATGTGGACAAATAATTTTGATGGCAAATTAACTCCCTGTTGTTAGCTTACTAATGGATCACTTTTCAGCATGCTGGGTTCAGTTTGACTGGTTTAGAGCAGCTTTACGGGTGAGTCCATGAGCATGAGATAGAAGGAAGATGACTGCTTTGTGTGATCTGGCGGTTTGTGTTGGGGTGAACTCCTGAGTGACACCCAGGCTCAATCCCCACAACAGACAATTCTAGCCAACCATAGAAGCTCAGTCCAGAAAAGAATCACATAGGTTTGCCTTACTTTAAATCAGGGGTCCTCAAACTTTTTAAACAGGAGGCCTGTTCATTGTCCCTCAGACTGTTGGAGGGATGGACTGTAGGCCCCGGGAAGAACTGGCTGCTAAGCAGGACAGGCAGTGGCAGCAAAAACTCCCGGCGGGCCGGATAAATGTCCTAGGTGGGCTGCATGTGGCCCGTGGGCCACAGTTTGAGGATGCCTGCTTTAAATAATATATGCAGTCCTATAAAAGCGCCTAAACCCAATAATATTTTAAATGCCCTAGAAGAACTTGTCAAAATGAATGATTTTACAAGTCTCTTGGCAAAGTTTTAAAAAAACAAAAACACTTTTTTCATAGTGACCCTGTCTCTCTCCCCTGTCCCCTGCTTCTAATTTATACCTTGGCTTTCCACATAACAGGGTTGTATAAAGCAGAAATCAACAGGCAGGTGGCCCTATAAAGCTGCACGAGACAGGACATTTCCTCTGGAAACTCTCTGAGAAAGCACCATGTCAAAGAGCAATGAGAAGAACACATACAACCCACACATGCATGTGTACTAACACAAGAAGCCAACTATCCTGCCAGGGGTTGTAAATGTCTACGAGAAGGCAGGGGATCGGGTGTGCTAGGCCCACTTTTGTTTATTGAAAGGTAATATATTTTGCCTTCAGCAAATGAATGGCAATGCAGGAGCAATGAACAGCAGCAAGTAAAATTAGACTATAGCTTCCTGAGAGTGACAAATAGGTCCCCAGCAAATTTTGCTCATTAATCTCATGTTTATTTTAGTAAATCCAAAAAGAATCGGGTTTTTATTTTTTGGGTTTTTCTTTTCAATAAAACTATAGTACATTCTGTTCTGAGCAGCCATTCTGGTTTCAACAGTTTTTCAGAAATGCTACAAACATAAAAGGTTTCTGTCAACTGTCATTATTGCCTGAGACAATAACAGGGCTCCCAAATTGCTAAATATGTCCTTGTGTCACAACTTTGTTTTTAGGAACCCCTTTGAGCTTTGTCAAGGCCTCCGTTCACCATTGTCACACAACGTGTGTGTGTGGAGACCAGTAGTTGACCACCAAGCCAAGTCTCTCAGGGCTTCCTGCTCTGCTCTTGATCTCCTAATAGAGCCATTTCCCACATCCTTCCAGAGTGGAACCATAGCTATAGGCAGTGATGCACCTGTAAACTTACAGGTATGTCCTGTCATGGAGCCCTGCGTCAATGAGATGAGGCTGTCCTACACGGGATCTTGTGCTAACCATGTCTTTTTATTTTCTGGGTTCTGATGCTCTGACATTTGGGGCTTACTGACCCTAGAATCCTTCCATCTCTGGTAAACCTGTCTATGCCCCAACCACTTCTGCCATTGGGCTCTTATATTCCCGGCCATTATTCCACTCTACTAAAGGTCCCACAGCCAGGTACTAGATAACTCAGGGCAGCCCCAATGCCCCAGAATCTGCTGAAATTATTCAAACTAGCTGATTCTAAATTTTCTTTCCCTGCCTTGTAGGTTTCTTATACCAAAACCACAATAAAGGCTGTTGCCCACGTTTTCACCTCACTTTCTCTGCCTCCTGATCAACTGGGCACTTCCCTGTGTGGCCCTGCATGATGGCATGTGCCCATCCTCTGGGGAACTGGGAGCAACAAACTTCTTTTTCAAGCAAATCTAAATAATAAGAAAAACTATGAATGTTTTTAAATAGAATTCTCATGGCTGAGTCCTTTTGATTCTTCAAAAAGTCATAAAAACAGGCTGGGTGCAGTGGCTCACATCTGTAATCCTACCACTCTGGGAGGCCAAAGCAGGTGGATTGCTTGAGCTCTAGAGTTTAAGACCAGCCTGAGTAAGAGCAAGACCACAGTCTCTACTAAAAAACAGAAAAAACTATTTATAGGTGAGTGCCTATAGTCCCAGCTATTGAGAGGCTGAGGCAAGAGGATTGCTCAAGTCCAAGAGTTTGAGGTTGTTGTGAGCTATGATGCCATGGCATTCTACCCAGGGTGACAGAGTGAGACTCTGTCTCCAAAAAAAAGAATAAAAACAGGAAAAGTCTTAGCTGTTGTCTAGAGATTTGGCACCTAGGGAACAAGGGCTAGACTGCCCAGTGAGAGTGGCAGCTTGGGACACAGGTCAGGCTTCTGAGCCAGGTGAAGCACCCCTAATCCACCTTGCAACAAGGACAGTGAGGAACCCTGAGGGGATGTGCACTTGCAGAGAAAGCAAATGCATACTCTGAACTGACTTCTAAAGGAGGCAAGGAGATGGTGAAAATGAAACACTGATGCTGCCCTAACATAGTGGCCTGAGCACTTGTCCCTAAGACTTGCATGTGCTCTTTTTGCTTCTGTCTGCCTCACATACACTCAGAAAGAAAGCAACTCATTGACAGTGTTGTGAAGACAATCTCAAGAACCCAGACATGTGCACTCCAGCCTTCTCCATTCTCTGTGGGTGGCTGCTCCCTCCCAGCAACCTCCAGTTCTTGGGCTTAGGTCATTCTTTTGCCTCAGCCTCCCGAGCAGCTGGGACTACAGGCGCCTGCCACAAGGCCCAGCTATTTTTTGTTGCAGTATGGCTGAGACCGGGTTTGAACTCACCACTCTCGGTATATGGGGCTGGCACCCCACTCACTGAGCCATAGGTGCCTCCCAGGTACTTCTCTTTCTTAAAATTATTTTTCCTTAAATATTTGCTGCTTGTTGGTTGTCCACTCATGTTTGTGCTCACAGAATCCCATGTGGCTGGGGGTGGTTGTCTGGCCTCATGGTAGGACTCTTTCTGTGATGCTGCAGGGGGAGGAACCTTAGCATTTCTTTTTGAAGGGTGGTAGCACCTATTCCCAGGGCACTGTTCTGGCTCTGTGGCTGGGGGCCCTCCCTGTGTTACTGTGTTAACCTTTAGATAAATAGTGCCTCACTGTCATTCCTGCTCAGGGACCATCTTGCTCTTGCACACTTGACCCTGGAGTCTCATGCAATTCTGGAATTGTTCCCACCTCAGCAGAAGTCTTTTCCCACTTGGGGGGGGGGGTTTGTCTCCCACCCCCCACCGCTGGCTTATCCTGTCTACTTGCTTCCCTCAGTTCCTCAGAATTTCTTGTCTGAGCCAATCTTGTTTCCCAGGGCTGTTAGGGATTTATTCTTTTCCTTTCCTCTTAAATTTTATACCTAGGGTTTTGTGTTCTGAGGAGAGGTGGGCTGTATGCTTAGTCTTTCTTCTTGGTCTAAGCTCCATAGAGTTTATGTTGTGCTACATGCGACACCAAGAATACATAGTCATCTTTGCATCTGACCTTTAGGATGACTCTCTAAGTCAGACATTATTATGGCCATTTTACTCCAGGTGAAACTAACAATCAGAGAGGTGGATCCTTACTTTATAGGCTCACACAGCTTCCAGGAGGCAGAGCAAAAATGTGAACTCAAGCCTGTTGACCTGAAGCCTGGATTTCCTTTTTCAATCCTAGTCCTTATCCCTAGTAGTCACTGGGTGAGGATAGTGGCCATTAGGCCTGGTGGCTAGAAACAGAAGCAGAAG